CCACAAACCCCACCCCCAGCCGCACACCTGCTCCTCCACCTGACCTCACCGGTGTCGGGGGCATCCCCGCCTCTCAGAGCTGCCGTCCTCCACCTGACACTCGGGCCATTGCTTTCACCCTCCCGGCCTGGGGTTCAGCCGGTCGCCTCCCTGCGTCCTGACTCGGGACACGTGCCTTTCCACCCGTCCCCCGTTTTCTCTGCTGTCATTTCCTCCAGCTGCCCCAGGATGTCCCCTGCAAGGTCTCCCTGTCCCGTTTCATCCTAGAACTTTCCGCAGAGCTAAGTCTCTAACGTGCAGCACTGGCACAGGCGCAGCCGGATTACAAACGTCCCAGCACACAGGGCGCGGTCTCAGTAGCCGGACAATCCATGGGCTGCGCAGCCTGTCCCTCCTGGAGCCAATTCAGCGGAGACAGGGTGGAATCATATGAGCGTTTATTGCCATCCTGCTGCAGCCTGGGAGAGCAGCGGGTCACCCACAGAAATCTGCTCTGCCCCCCATAAGCCCGCTGCTTGTATTGGGGAGAAGGACAAGGATTACAGGGGACGTAGGCAATGGGTGTGCCCAATGGGCAGTTCACAGGTAATGTGGCTGGAGATTTGTAAAGGCCTGTGGGTGTGCAAAGGCTGGGGGTCTTCAAAGGGCTGGCGGCTCTGGTTTCTGCAACCAGGTTGGTCATCTTTCCATGATCACAGGCAGCTCCCTGGTGGGGAGGATGGGCCGCAATCCCGGGTGAGCTCCCAGGTCCCACCTGCCTTCTCTAATCTGAACAAAACCGCAGTGAACAGAGCAGGACCCATCTCTCCCCCGTGTTCTGTTCCTGCCCCACCCCCTGCTCTGGCAGAGCGAGCATCACTCCCCCTCCATCTGCTGCTGGGAAGGTCTGCGTCCCCTTCATGAGCGTCCCTTCACGCCCAGCACCCAGAGCGAGCCCCTCCTCTGAGCCCCCCGCAGGGACAGATCCTCTTTGCTCTCTGTTCCCCTCGCTGTGTCCTTAGCTGCACAGCAGCCCCAGGCTCTCCTGGGTCAGGGTTCCTGTGCGCCCGAATCAGGGACGGTCACACCAAGGCCGCACCTGAGGGATGAGTCTCAGGTGCTGGAAGCACAGGAGTCAAGGACAGGGGCGAAGGGGAGGTTTTGGAGCAGGATGAGGGTAAAGGGGCTCGCCTGGGACCAGCAGAGGGCGCCTCGAGACCATGTATGAGGGTTTCTGCAAACCAGGGGCTCCCAGCTGGGCAGCCCTCCAGGGACCCCAGGCCCCAGGGCTGGGCCCTTTGATTCTTATGAGAACTGGGCAGGCGTGTCGTCTCTGGGCCTGACCGAGTCCCCTGCACGTGGCTGTGTGTGGCCCCAGCAGCTGCTTCCTCCCAGCGTTGCCCTTGGGGACACTAGTGCACCAGGCTGGCCTCCCTGGGCAAGGGCCCCAGACCCCACTGTGCCCCTGGGAGAAGGGCAGGGGGTGGGGCACATTTGCATGAGCAGCCCCTCCTCTGCGAAGCCAGCTGGGCGGGGATAAGAGGAGCCTGGAGCCTGGAGCAGCTCAGCCTCTGCTCTGAGGACCCAGGATCAGCTGTGAGCACCATGGCCTGGGCCCCTGTGCTCCTCCTGCTCCTCGCTCACTGCACAGGTAGCCACAGGCCTCGGGGACCTGGGGTACCTGCCCCCTGAGCCTTCTATTCACTCCCATGTGTCTGTGTCTGCAGGGTCCCTCTCCCAGCCTGTGCTGACTCAGCCGCCCTCCCTCTCTGCATCTCCGGGAGCCACAGCCAGACTCACCTGCACCCTGAGCAGTGACATCAGTGTTGGCAGCTATGGCATAAGCTGGTACCAGCAGAAACCAGGGAGCCCTCCCCGGTACCTGCTGTACTACTACACAAGTACAAGCTTGGGAACTGGGGTCCCCAACCGCTTCTCTGGATCCAAGGACACCTCGACCAACACAGGGCATCTGCTCATCTCTGGGCTGCAGCCTGAGGACGAGGCCGACTATTACTGTCAGGTGTACCACAGTAGTGCTGAGCACAGTGACACACACGGATGGGGAAGTGGAACAAAAACCTCGGCCTCCTTGCTCCAGGCTCCTGACACATCTACTGAGGCAGGAAATGCCTGCCTGGTAACCACAGACCTAAGCCCCGGGGTTTATGGTTGAAGTGATGCTGGGAGCGTAGGTACTAAATATCCACAAAGGAAGAGAGGGAAGGGAACAGACACTGCTAAGCACAGTACACGCGGGAGCAGAGCCACCTGCTTCCCTAGGAAGGTACCGCCTCACACCCTCCAGGGAACCACTGGTCCGATCCTGCAGATCAGGGGGAGGGAATAGGACAACAAA